TACTGGAAGAAACTCTCCCCACACAAGACAACATGGACATTACCAAAGTCGAAGAATAAAGTGATGGTGGGGATGAATTGCACCAAGGATCTCCAAAGACATCTTTATTACCAAAGATAGTGGCTCCAGGCCATGCGGCCGGTAAGAAGCATTAATATAAATAAATATTTTCTTTATTTTCTAATTTCTGAGTGTAGATAGGCCAATGGTAGTGTATGATAGTGATGGCGGAGGCCTTGAGACCATGGTGTGCCTCCACCCCCCTTTCTAGAGGGAAGTAGCTCTACTCCTCTTACTCTTATGGAGTTGCTTGACAACTTTTCTACAGTAGAGTAAGATAATTGAAAATTGTGCCATTCAAAATTGAACTAACGTTTGCATGTAGATTGTTGGAGCGTCAATAAAGATGGATTGATACCACCAATGCATTTAATGAAGTTGTTCAGTTAACCACTCAGGATAGTGCCAACTTTATCATGCTGCAACATGAGGAGGTTTCTACCTTATAGGATGCCACCACAGCCCTTGAGGTGAGGGCACAGGGGGATGCTGAAGTTCTCTCACAGATGCAGTGGCTGAAACACAAGCTTCTTAGTTGCTTTGGCGTGGAAGCACAAGTGACGAGGAGATACTAGACATTGTTGTTAGACACCCTGAGTTCCATTGGGCTGGCGGTGAAATATTTCTTCGGCACGTGTTTTTCAGCCAAGCCATGCCTCATTGGCAAGATTGGGAGAGTATTTTCCTTAAGCTTGGCCTTTCAAAAGCACAGTGACAACACAATCTAACAACTCCTTACTGAAGTAAGTATCAATGTGCCTCCTTCAATTGTTGAGTCCACAATAGCATGGTTCATTGAGAAGAGGTACATATATCTATTTCTTAGCACTTAGTACCATCTTATGGTTTTGTGCAGGGACCTACGTAGGAATTGGGCCTGCACAAATTCATGCTGAAGAATAAAAATGGGCCTTATTTTTGCATCGAGAAGGCCATGCTTTGGCCATACAGACTTGCTCGTACACGTTTGAGGCCGTCTTGCATTCTGGTAAGCAATGGATTGCTTATGAATTGGAGTTCCCTTACTTGTCCTTCTAGATTGCACCAAACAATGAATTCAGTTGTTTCCAATTCCTTCAACACTAATCTCCGCACAGGAATTACAAATTGGTTTATGCGTCTGAGATTGGAGGAGCTTTGGTGTGGGAGGAATCCACAATAGATGCAGGTGGGCCACATGCAAAAGCCATTAGGGAGGCTGTTCGCCAGATTCCAAGATCGGTAAGTCTAATTTTCATTTGGCTCACTAGAGTAACTTTGTGTTACAGATGCGTGGACTGTTTGTGCTTAGGGAAGGAGCTACATATTGGCATCCCAGGATGCCAATGCATTCTAGGACGTTGCAACAAGAAGAGCGGGATGTGGTAAGTTAAGTTTAAATCACAAGTTTTATATGCTCCTCATTTCTATATGCACAGGCTATCTTTGTGGGATGGTTGCTATTCCAAGCATTCAAATGTAATGCATAGGTATCTTGTGGGTGTACAATTGCAACATTGGCAATTGCAACTAGAGAGGTTCCAAATGAGAATGACCGACGACTTGCCCGAGGAGGACTATATGAGATGGGCCTCAAGGCATATGCGCTGCATATTTGGAATGCACTCAACCAATTGCGAGGTGCATCAAGCCTAAAAGAGGAGGGCGATCAGCACAAGTCTGTGGATTCCATCCTAAAGAACTTGCAATTACCAACTACAACGCAGTGCTTGAGTCTAGACTCACCGAATTTGGTGAAGGTTATGAGCAGGCTGTGGAGGTATGCGTGGCTGCAGTGGTTTGGCATTAACTATTCATCGAGCCAAATGTAGTGGGAGACTTACTCCGAGATGGCTTCCAACACTCAATACGCATGGAAGCTCACCAGAGGCCTTACAAGAGTCTACATTGCTAAGTGGGCTTTCACTCATTGGAACAGATGCTTTGTTACAGGTCTTCCAGGTAAGGATGATCATTCCTCCCGCGGAGTTCATCAACTGCCTGATCTTTGATCAGGACTTTGGAGAGAACTTTCGCAGCTGGATTGTGGACATCATTCGAGGTAACTATTTACTTTCACAAACGACTAAAATTCTTGTATGTTTGAACATTTTATAGATATGAGCTCGAAAGAGTTATCCAAGTTCCATCACTTTGCAGTTGATTCTCCAGAGTTCCGACCAAGAGAGCCTATTTGGATCCAAGTTGAGAGATAGAGTACATCATCTACTCGATTTCCCAGGTTCTCCACATACACACAAGAAGTTTTCTTCCCTTTAATATACCCGTCAATGGAGTGGACTAAACACAAGATCCATTGGGCACTCCAAAATCCAGAGAGCTTGTATGGATTGGGCTGATGTTGTGGAAGTAATCTAGAGACTTTCACAATAAAAATAGATAATTGTCTTGAAATATGTTTCAACTTTGAAAGAGACTCTTTCCAGTTAATTGGCAAAGTTAAAAGTAAGAATATTCAAAATATTCCACAAATGCCCATTATAGGCACTTGCGGCCCTTGTACTCTTTTGGCTTATGCTTGGCTCACCAAGGGTAATCACTATAACTTCCAAAGAAGCTCCCAATTTAGATTCTTGGTCAAAACTATCAAGCTTGGGTGCTACATGATGCCCATCCTCGCTTGAGGAACTCTCAACCTGTTTCATGGTAGAACCAAAATCACCCTCTAGGTCTGTGAACTCGTCCTTGCTTGCATCTCAAGCAGTAACATATCCCTCGCTATCACTTTCTTCAGCAAGACCTTTCCCCTCGGTGATTGGCACAACATTAGAAGTAGTCTTAGGCTACTTTGTCAGAGGGATTGTTGAGCCTTGAGAGGAGGAGGCATCATATAGAATCCTCGGTCCTGTCCCCTGTTGGATCTATTGTTGTGCCTCAAAGAAGTCATAGAATCCTCTCTAGTTTGCCATGCCAGGAGGAAACCCAGAAACTTCAAACATTGCAAAAGGGTTAGACTATATAAGAAACTATCACAAATCTACTCTTATTAAAGTGAGCATGAGCTTCCAATCCTTGAAAACTCCAGTTCTTCGGCCGCAGCGCACAGCATACATTGGATAGTTTTGCCCCATGCTTGGAAACCCTTTTTACAAATTTCAAAATTTGAAACTATTGTGATTGGAAAATATTGTAAGTGTCCATTGTCATTGCTCTTCTCACCTAAATGTTATTACATGCAATTACAACTTCTATATTCTCAAATCTCCTTCAGCATGCTCTTCTTGAGAGAACTCCAGGTCCAATTTGAAATAATTATAATTGGAAAATGTTGAAAGTGTCTATTGTTACCTTGAATGTTACTACATGCAATTGCAACTTCAACATTCTCAAATCTCCTTCAATATGCTCATGTTGAGAGAACTCCAAGTCCAAACATCAACACTATGCACCTTTGTGTAGTACACAATTGAAGTATGAGCCCCACCAATTAATCAAATTGGTTAGACTTCAACCTACTTTTGAGTCATATGCAAATCTTCTAAGCATCATGGTACAAAACTAAAGTGTTAAGAGAGCTATATTGGAAATCAATGGCAACGAAAGATAAACTCAATGGGATGCATTAGAGACATGACTCTAGACAATATATATCCATGGCTTTGCAATGGAGCTAGAGGGAGTTCACTTATGCTTGCTATGAACACTATGTTAAAAGAGATGTGCCAAAAAAGGATAATTCAGTTCTTTTGCCATGAGCACCAAGAGCAAGATGTGAGAACATACTGCTCTAAATAAGCAATTTAGTCGATTGTCTATTTGATTTGCAACATTAACAACTTGGTAGAATGCATGGGATGAATGGGTCTATGGGCCATGAATGGCTCCATTCCATACATAGCATGGGTCATTTCTATGGGCATGATGCCCCATCTGGGGCATAAGGATTGGATATTCGTAAAATATTCTATGCTTGTGTTTTTTCACACTCATAATACACGTGGCCCAATAGCAAGCATACACATGGTGTGAGTGAAATCCACCTTTATAAAATCCACCCTTTTACGAATTGCACGCCATACCATGCACGGAGGAATGCAAGAGTGGGCTTATTTCGTATGTGAATTTCCGAGAAGGCAGACGGACTTAGAGATACCACGTAAAAGAATATTCTAATAAAATTAAGCGTATGCTTTTTTCCTCTCAATCACTTTCCTCTGTACACCGCGGAGCGAGCCACGAGAAACTCTTTGAGCGCCTCGACTGTGGGCAGCGCGAGCTTGGCAGCGGGATGCGCGAGCACGGCCTGGAAGAAGTTGTGAAGACGCGGGCACTGCTCCTGGCTCGCGGGCTTCAAGCCCATCACGCCCGCAATCCCTGGGATCCACACCGCGTAGGGGGCGAGCATCACATCCAAGAACGCCATTCTCGCGCCGCCAAAGAATGGGCCTTCTTCCTCATTGCCCAGCTTCGTGAATGCCTCCTCGAGAAGCTCGTAGTTCTCGATAAACTCCTCGTTCGTGGCGTCTCCACGCATGAATCGCATCAAGCAATCCAGAAGCTGTGCCATGGATCACATCAGGGATGTGTGGCTCTAGAGACATCTAGCTCGAGTAAAGCATACCTTCTTGTCAATGAAATCCGTCCAGAAGCGATGCTCTGCGCGGAGGAACGCGTCCGTAGGCAGCAGTGGAGATTCTCCGGACCAGACCTCGTCGATGTACTGAACGATAATGACTGATTCCACAATGGGCTTCCCATTGTGGATGAGAACCGGGACCTTCTTGTGGATTGGATTGGATTCGAGCAGGAGCTGGCCCTTGTTCCTCAGGTCCTGGGGGAGATCATCGTGCTCGATGCCTTTGAGTAGCAATGCAATCTTTACTCGCAGAGAAAAGTGGCTCACCCGGGAGCTGAGCAGCGTCACGCCATCCATGGATCCGGAATGGATTGGAAAATGAGATCTCGAGAGAACAGTAGAATTCTAGAATGCGATCAATCCAAACACTAGTGAAATTGTCATTATATTACATTAGATACCTCCAACTTTTTCTTGTTATTAATGCAAAGGCTCTTTACTTATTTCCCGCAAAGCGAACCTGGATAAATTCCTTGAGCTTCTCGACCGGGGGCAGTGCGCCCTTGGCAGCCGGATGCTCGGACACGGCCTCGAAGAACTTGTGAAGACGCGGGCACTGCTCCTCGCTGGCTTGCTTCAAGCCCATCACTCCCACAATCCCGGGGATCCACACGGCGAAGGGAGCGAGCATCACATCTAAGAAGGAGAAGCTCGCGCCGCCGAAGAAGGGACCCTCTTGTTCACTCCCCAGCTTCGTCAAGGCCCCCTCGAGAAGCACGCAGTTGGCGATGAATTCCTCGTTTGCGGCATCTTTGTCGTTCCCGCGCACGAAACGCATCAAGCAGTCCAGCAGCTGTACAAGCAAAGGCGTGAGATCGAGTAGATTTCTCAAGACTTATAGAACATACCTTCTTGTCGATGAAATCGCTCCAGAAGCGGTGCTCTGCGCGGAGGAATGCGTCTTTCGGCAAGAGTGGCGATGTTCCAGGCCAAACCTCGTCGATGTAGTGGACGATGATGGCCGACTCTGCGATGGGCTTGCCCTTGTGGATGAGAACCGGGACCTTCTTGTGAACTGGATTGGACTCGAGTAGGATCTTACTCTTGTTGCCCAAATCCTCGGGGAGATCTTCGTGCTCGGTGCCCTTGAGCAACAGTGCAAGCTTGGCTCGCATCGAGAAGGGGCTGGGCCAAAAGGTGAGCAGTGTTACTGTTGAGAGTAGATGCTAAGGTAGATGCTTAGCTAGGCAGTTAGGATGATGTGGCATTAGGCAGTTGCCACAGCCCGTGTATACATAGCTTCATATATACAATATGAGCAGTCGTTGCCAACAGTCGCTGCCTTTTTTATCATGGTATCAGAGCACAGATCTTGAGGACCTGTGAAGGATGAAGAAGAAGAAGAAGCTTCCAAATGCCAACGGCAGAAGCAGAGTAGCCTAGAGCGCAGCAACAAAGCAATGGCAGAGCCATACCAGCAGCGAGGAGTGGCAGATAGTGACTCAGAAGCCCTGGAGCGGCAGAAGATGTTGATATGCTCCAAGAGAGGAGCAGCAGAGCAGCCAAGAAGCCCAGGAGCAGCAGAGCAGTGACTCAGCAGGCCGAGAAGCAGAACGGCCAAGATGCTTGAAGAGACGAGCAGCAGCAGCCAAGTGAGCGGCAGCAGATAGCAGCGGCAGAGTTGGCTGAGAAGCCCAGCAGTGGCAAAAGAGCTCCAAGAGAGGAGCCAAAGGAGCGATGGCAAAAGAGCTCCAAGAGAGGAGCCAAAGGAGCGATGACAAAGCAGCCAAGAGTGGCAGAGGCAGCAAGCCCTAGAGCAACAAGATGTAGTTGCTTTGAGTGGGAGTCAGTGTCAGTTGTATGCATGCTGAGCATCTTATGTTCAGGCTTTGTCTTAGTTTGTAGACACGCCTGAGTGGGAGTGTTGAGAGTAGATGCTAAGGTAGATGCTTAGCTAGGCAGTTAGGATGATGTGGCATTAGGCAGTTGCCACAGCCCGTGTATACATAGCTTCATATATACAATATGAGCAGTCGTTGCCAACAGTCGCTGCCTTTTTTATCAGTTACATCTTGATCACTAGAAGCCATTGGAATTGGGAAATCGAGAAGAAAGATCTGGAAATGCGAGAGGCTGGAGAAAGGTTTGTTGAAGTCGCGCTTTATATAGTCCGTGTGATCCACGGGGAGCGGAATTTCTGAGAAACAGGAGACGAAGGCTTCAAGGGAGTTCCAGAACATAATTCGTACCTTCGTTAGGCCACGATTGACTGAGAAGAGATATTCGAGAAGAGATCTTCGTGAATGTCGGTAGAACACTTAAGTTTTTAACCCGGTTATTCCCAAGCCCACCACCCGAGCGACCACAGTTTGTTAGACCGAAGCCAAAGATCACGATCGAGTGTCGGTAGAACACAAGTCTGTGAACAGCATCAAGTTATTCCGAGAGCCACCACCCGATGCCGCTGCCTTTCTCGCCGCGTCCCTGAATTCCCTCGCTCTCGCCTTTCGAGCTTTCTCGTTGAAGATCCTCGCAATGGCCTCAGCAATCTCCTCCCGCTTCACAAACGCGTCGGAGCTCCTCCCGTCCGAAACTTCCACCCCGATGCGGCACCTCTCCGCCATGATCTTGCGGTTGAGCCCCTGCTCGTATATCCGAGGCCAGCAGATGATCGGCACGCCGCTGGAGACGCTCTCCAGGACCGAGTTCCATCCGCAGTGGCTCACGAATCCAGCCACTGCCCTGTGCGCCAGAACTTCTCTCTGCGGCGCCCATGAAACCACCAGGCCTCGTCCCTTGGTCCGCTCGACGAAGTTCTTGTAGAAGTCACTGTTCTTCACCAGGACTGTCGTGTCTGCTTCGTCCACGAACTGGAGCGGCCTGACTGTGAGCAAGAACGGCACCTTGCTCGCCTCCAAACCGAGCGCGAGCTCCTCGAATTCCTCCTGCGACAGCTTCGCTATGCTGCCGAATGCGACATAGAGGACTGAGTCTGGTTCCTGCGTGTCGAGCCAGTCGAGGCATTCCCTGTCCTCCTTGAGAAAGCTCAGCACGGACTTCAAGTCGCCGTGATCATCCAGCACCGGGAACAAGGGACCGATTGGCAGAAACTTGTCGTTGAAAAGCTTCTTCATCGCGTCCACCACCTCGGGCTCCAGCTCGTGGAATGTGTTACACAGGATCCAGGAGGACGCCTTGAGCCGCTCGGCTCCAGCACGAAAGTACTCAAGCACGGCTTCCGTGTAGTGCCATGGAAGATCAGAGTCTATCCCCGGAATGTAAGTGATTTCTCGGTCCTCGCCATCTGATTTTAAACAAGACAAAGATTTAGAGCTATAAGAGTTGACAAAGACAAACCTTTTATCGGAAGATCGCCTTCGGAAATAAGCAGTGGGACGTGGTACTCAACAGCAAACCAAGCCGCACTTCCAGGCCAGTAAACAGCGTATGGAATTCCAAATTCGCTGGTGACTGGAGCACACCATGATCCAGCATAGTGATCAGAGATTATGACGGTAACGCGAGGTCCACTGTCATTCAGAGCTTGGATCAAATTCTTGAACTCGCCGCCGAGATCGTAAACTGCTCTTGAAAAGCGCATTAGATCAGCTTCTGCAGCAGCGAGAACTCCTTTCGACAAATCCACCGCGGGATGAAGAGCCTCCAGCCTGATATCCAACTCCGAAGGAAAATCCCATACCTTGATCTGCTCATGAATGGAAACCACGTTGGCGATGGTAACTGCGCATCCGAGTTCTGCCAGCTTCTTGCCGAGGAACACAACTGGCGAAAAGTGCCCCTGAGCAGGATACGGGACGAGTACCACATGTGGTTTGCCTGCAAACATCATATTGTCAATGCAATTTCTCTCGAGTTCTACGAAGAAGAAAGAACGAACCTGAAGCGCTATATTTTGGTGGAGTAGGCCAGCTGACACACCGAAGCCCGTTCCTCGCCCTTCCACGTTGGCTTTTTCCGGAAAGAATCATTCTTCCGTCCCGGGGAAAACGAGAGGACACTTGTCGCAGGTTCCTGCCTTCAGTAACTCTCTGGCAACCTCATCCAGTAGAAACTTGAAAATCTCCTTCGCAATTTGCACTGCTATTCTCTGTAGCTCCTCCTCTGTGCCTGCCCAGTTTGCCTCTTTACTAACATCTCCCTGGTGAAGGCCTTCGACTGACTGCTGCTGGAGGCCTGTGTTATGGCATATCTCACTCCAAACGTCTCGCAGAAGTCCCCGGCTCGAAGGCTTACAAGACTTCCGAGCCAAAATCTCGTTGACGACGTCGAAGAGAAACCGGCGATGAGATAAATTGTCAGGACTTCCTTGATAGTCTGCTTCCAGCGTCTGAAAAGCTTGAGAAATAGCCACAGGCCTTCGACTGTCACACTCATAAAGGGGCGGATTCTTGGACGCCAAAAGTACCTTAGAAACGTAGACAAGATCTGCTAGACGAGTGTCAGCCACAGGTTTCCCTGTGTTTACTCCCCGATTCGGTGCTTTTAAAACTCGACGAGTTTCTGCAAGGACGCCACGTTAATTCAGATAAAAGAAACCTTGTTCATAGGTAGCATTACCTCCCGAGTGTCTTTTGCGAAGTTCCAAAATAGATACTGGACTTGTCTGCTGCAACGTCTCGCTCGCATTTGCAAAAATTCGTCATCGAGAGAAAGACCACCTTGGAAACCATACCTCTACGATTTCAACTTGAGGCGCCAGTCGTGTATCATAAACTTCAGAAAAGGTTCTCTGTTCTAGCGTGTCTCCAGGCCGGTCTTCGTCAACGAGAGCCTGCTTTCTCGAAAGTTTTATTGGCGTCGTTTGGTATGCTGGCGAAGAAGTCGTAAGATTCGCACTTTCCAAACTTTGGTGGCAACTGATGTTAGAGGTAGAGATGATGTGGCAGTAGTTATGCCCACGTGGCAGTAGCTTTATGTATATGTACACAATCATATACAGTTATATATATACAGTTCTTCCTCCTCGTGTGCGCGTCTCTCCGCTGCTAACATGGTATCGGAGCCTTGGGCTCCTTGATCCTGAGAATGGCGCTTGCTGGCCAGGAGGCCAGTGATGAGGAGGAGGATGAGCCTCCCAATTGCAATCCCTCTTGCAATGTTTGGGACGCTTGAGGCGTTGCACCAAGGCACCAGGCTGTGTAGAGGTGCTGAGCAACAAGCAGCAGCAAGTAGAGAACAAAGCCAGTGGGAGATTGAGAGATTTCACCAACCCACATCAAGAATTGGGTCAAGATTCAAGAACATTGCATAGCAATTCTTTGCAGGAATTTCCAGCAATTGGGAAGGATGCTCATGGAGATTCAAGTGCCTAGTCGCAGAGAAGTGGGAGCCTGGCAGTTCACGGCCAAGACCTCATGCTAGAGGCAAGATTGAAGCCATAGCAAGAAGCAAAGAGTGTGCAAGCAAGTCCAAGACCAAGAACCAAGTTTTGGGTAGTTGATTGATGAGTTTTCATATGCTTTTCTCATCAGCTTTCCATGCTCATCATCTCAGACTAGCTAGGCACGATTCAGGCTTAGATTCAGACTGGAATCAGCCGCCTGATCGTGAGTGGGAGTGTTAGAGGTAGAGATGATGTGGCAGTAGTTATGCCCACGTGGCAGTAGCTTTATGTATATGTACACAATCATATACAGTTATATATATACAGTTCTTCCTCCTCGTGTGCGCGTCTCTCCGCTGCTAACATGGGCATGAAGAGCTGAAAGGTGGCAAGAGATTTATGTGGACGCTGAAATGAGCGGACACAAGACTTGTATATATTTTACATGGAGAAAATGAAAAGGCAGTAGGTTAGGGGAAACAGAGTGTGTCGTTTAACTAGAAAACTATCATGGTATCGGAGCCTAAACTGATATATCGTCTCAGCGTCGGAGTGGAAGCGTCTTGGATGTCCAGTGGCGTTCGTTCCGGCAAAGGCAAATGCGAGCTGACGTCTCTGAAAGCACTCTCCCGAGCCTTCCTGGTGATCTCTTGAGCGATTTCTTTCGCATCCTTGGAGCCATCTCTGAGGCGATGTATAACGAACTCCCTGGCAGATTGCTGCTGCGTTTTGGTTTCGGTGACAGCGTGCAGTACTTTCTCCCTGGCCGGAGAGTCGGGCTCAAACTCCTCCCTGTGAAATCGCGGTTGCGTTTCAAAGACTTTGTTGCTGGTTGTTTCCCGAAAATCTGGAGAGTGCGGC